GAAAAGTAAATTGCGGGAAATAAATGAAAGCGATAAAAAGTCCTAATTAAATCTATTACATCCTCGGAGCAAATACATAATTGGATCAAAACATGAATAAAATAAACATACGCGCGAGAAAAATTGAATCGGAGAGTCTTTAGGGTTTTGACCCTTTTTGGATAAAGAAGGAAGTTTTGATTATTTATGAATTAAATTAAACCTAGACTAATTAATTAATAAAAAGAAATATTTTTTTTGGTTTTTTTATGTTTTAAGGAATTAAAAACAAAGATGATTAAAATTGTCAAGAACCCTAATTCTATGTTGATTTTATTTATTGTGAAAATATTAATGTTAACCTAATTAAACCTAAACAAATTATGTTAGTATTTATTTACAAAAATTTAAATTTAATAAATAAAAATATTATATTTTTTATGTTTTTCTGAATTTATTAAAAAAATGTTAATTGTTTTAGTTAGTAGTTAATTAGAAATTAATAAAAACAATTTAAGTAAAAATAAAAAGGAAAAGAAGAAAATAAACTCAGGGGGTGATGGGCCCAAAGAGGAGGTGTATCAGCAATTCTGAAGCCCAATAATGCTCAAGCCTGTTTGACTTTCTGGGATATCCACACGCTTGTTGACTAAGGACTATAGTGGTCCTTCAATTTTGGCCATTGGATCCAGGCTTGGAGACACTTGGCGCCTAGAAATTGGAGGTGTATGATGGACCTCACTTTGAAGCTTGCACATGAATACCTGGAAAATAAAAGCAACAATGTTTTGGGGGACCTGGGATTCGAACCCAGGTCCCAAGGGATAATGCTTCAATGCCTTTGCCAACTGAGCTGGAAAGCGCGTTTGTTAAATGAATGGATAATGAATATTATATATAAAAACAACTATTATGCTGTAAAACAACAAAATAACGCACGCGTTTTCAAACACGCCAATGAGGTATCAACACATCATCATCTTCTTCATTCGTTCTGCATAAATAATATTAGATAGCGGGGGTTTTTAACTCCCACTAATTCCTGCAATCAAAAATAGCGATTAGAAGCACAGTGGATATAAATATTTCGCGAGGTATTGGGCTTGTTCGTCTTGTTCTCATGATCTCAACCATGTGTCTTATGAGTCCTAATTTTGCCTGGATTGAATAGCCCTAATTTAAAGCTCAAGAACCCTAGAATTTTGATCATGGCATCTTTTGATTCAGGGCGTTATAGTTCAATTAACTTATGCCATTAGCTTCGTATGGTTCCTAGCAATGCAAAACAATCATGAAAACGTGTTAAATGCACATGAATCAAGCAATACGATTTTGAATAAAAAAGCCAAATCGTGAAACTGTAATCAGTGATTTCTTGAGCTTTGAAGCTGGAATTTGATTATGAATCGTTCTTGGAACCTCCTGCAATGTATTTGAATCAACAAAAGCCCCTGAATCGCCCTAGAATGCAAGAACATGTTTTTTTTTATTTTCTTGGAAATTCTTGGTTTTGGACAGGGTGGTTTCTGGCGTTTTTTCACGTCCTTTTGATCAGGGTTAGCTTGCTTATGTATAAGGGAAACAAATTAGGTCAAAAAGCTGGGCCAATATCCATTGCATTGATGATTGAATCCTTGATTGAAAGATCAAATATCCTTGATTTTCATGATTGAACAAAGTTGCCAATTTTGGATTTTTTGTATCTTTGACTTTGTGCACGAATTTGCCAGCATGTTTAGGTCATATTTTCTTCACAAAAAGATTTAAAAAACAAATCTTCTATTTTCTTATGATTTAAATTGATTAAATGAATTAATATTAATTAAAAATCCATTTAATCAATAAAAATAAGAAAATAAATCCAATTAAGCTTGATGGGTCGTGCATAGGTCATGGGTGAAGTTTCAAGAAGAGATTTGAGGCCCATTAGCAAAATTAAGGTGTTTTGAGCAAAGTTGACTTTTGCAAATTCATAAAAATTTCCCAACTTCTCCAATGCACAACTTGCTCAATTTTGATCCTATGACCATGTTCTTGGACATTTTGGAAAGCTCTTGAAGTCCTCTAACCAATGCCTTTGGTCCCATGTCATTTGGATTTACCAATCTCATGTTATGGCCTTTGACTCAAAGTGTACTTTTGTTGACTTTTGAACTTAACCTATAATGTAAAATTGGTAACTTTGTGTGAGAGAATTTCTTGAACTTGGAGTGTGAAGATGGATTGTAGGAAATTGATCCTCTTAAAAATGATATTTGGATGGAATTTTTCTGACAAACCTTGAAAAAGTTATGCCCTGGTCAAGATACAGTTGACTTTTCTGCTGTCCAAAAATAGTAACTTTTTGCATCTTGATGATTTTTGAGCTACCCTTGTGGAATCATGATCAAGACTTGATCAAATGATGATTGTGGACTCAAAATGAGATGTTGACCAAAAATTCTGACTTTTGACTGCAAAATGACCATTTTGCCCTTGCAGTTGACTGTAGGTCAAATGGAGCTTTTGACTGTGCAAATTGTCACTGTGAGTCTTGAAACTTGACATGTAGGTGCTTGAGAATGTATATATGAAACAACCGGCTGAAAATCATCAAACAATGAAGTCGCCATCGAACGTCTTTTATCCCACAGGAAGGGAAACGTAAACATCGAGAAAACCCGAGAAGGATGAAATCAAGGTCGAACGACCAAGAGATAAGGGTAAGGGAGTCCGTTACGCGAGGGGAAGGTATTAGCACCCCACACGCCCGTAGTACTCTACGGTATCCACTCTTGTTGTCTATCTTATGGGTGTGTATAATCTATGCTTACTGTTTACTATACTACTGGAGGAATGCATACAAAAGAAAGGAGAAAAGAATGTAGGGAAAATAAAATTGTGCTCGCCTGGGCCCTACCCCAATGCCTACGTATCCTTTTTGAGGAATCAGAGCAGCCGTAGTTCGGCTTATGTGTTTTTGTTTGTTTGTATTTTCTTTAACGAACAGTATTAATCTCGCCTTCTGCCGCAACTCGACCTTTGGAGATTTACGCGTCAGCACAGAAGTGAATTAATACGCTCTTTTGAAAAGGGTTTGAAAGAAAGGCCCGAGGGCAAAAAGTTTTTTATGTTTGTTGGTGTTTTTGCTTGTAGATAATAGCTAGTTAACCTCAAGAGAGAGATTTTAGCCATTTCTCTACTTATTCATGAAATGAGTCTTTGAGACTTAAACCACACCAAAGCTTAGAATAAGAGATCAATAAGGTCGAGAAGAGACCCGCTTATCGTCTCACATACTTAACGAAGATATGATTCTCGTCAGTAAATTTTTTGTATTTTTGAAGTTTACGAGAAAAAGAAGTTTTTGTTTTTAAATGCATATGCGAAAAGAAAAAAAAAGAAAAGTCACAGGGGGACTAACCTATTTCTAAACCTAAAGTCATCATACCATGCAATCTATGGGAAGTGATAAATGCGGGGTGAGAGTGGAAATAAAATATACCAAACGAGTACTAGCTCTTAGAGCAAAGTAAAAAGCAAAGAAACTTGATGATCTCATGAGCTGCTAGCATCAACAAAGAAAAGAATTAGAAATCCAATGCTCAGAATAAGTGTTGAAGCATCATTGACGTGAAAATAAATCACAATCGGAACCTCAGGCATATCCGTATATCACACAATAAGCATGCATAAGACTCAAATCTCCAAAAACAAAAGTGAATCACGATTCTCGAGTAATCGGATAATCAAGAATTAATTTCTAAAAATATCTCTTACAATCTAACATTTTTTAGGTTTTTATTATTTTTATCATGGAAAGATATAGAAAAAAAATTAAATAAAATCCTAAACTCTACCTATTTTTCTTATTGTTTCATCAGCATTAGTCTTTATTAAATAAAGTTTAAAAGAAAATTTAAACTGAAATAAAAAACTAAAACAATTAGAAACAGATAGGGGGTGAAAATTGGAATAAGGGTTAAAAGTATATCTTCTAATCCTTCTGAAACACAAATCTCCACACAGCGCTGCAGGGCCTTCTTCCTCAATAGCTCACCGCTGTCTCATAATCTCCATCAAAAGCTCTATCGCTAAACAAAATCTCTCCGCCCTGGCTTCCATTCAACGGGAAAATATTTACCGGGACTTCATCTTTGATGACACGACTCTCCCCTCAGTGAGCTCGCCTCTCAACCTCACCTGTTCGTCAACTCGTCTCAACACCTCCATCTCAGCAAACACCTCCGCAAACCGTCGAGTTTGACTCAATCTCAAACATCTCAACATCTCTTCCGCCGATTCGTTTTCATTTCGATTTTCTCTGTGTTTCGTATCTTTTTGTGGATTCAACAACTTATTCGAAACAGAAATTGCAGAGCAACAAAAGAAGATTTACCTACCCGGTAGCTATTCGAAGTGGCGGCGTTAATCAGAAAAGACCAGCGGTATAGAAGGTATACTCTTCAATCTCTTGCCTATGCTATTTCTCTTCTTCTTCTTTCTTTTTTCTTGCGTTTCTTTGTGACTTCCAAGTGCGTGTATTGATGAGCATTGATAGGAAGGAGCATAGGGTTGTTGCGGTTGTCATTGTGAGTTGTGTTTGAGTGAGATCGTAGGAGTGTGATTTGAGTTTACAGAGAGATGATTTGATGAAGATGAAGCAGGGTTTCAGAAGTAAGTAAAAATGAAGAGTGGCTTGAAGGGTGAAGAGTATTGGTTAGAGAAGAAAGAGAGAGAATTCCGAAAACTTTTTGAGTTCTGGGTGAAAAATGAAGGGTGTTGATGGAAGAGGATAGAAAAAAATGGTGGAGAGAGGATGAAGTTTGAAACTGGAAAAGAGAAAGTCTCGTCGTCCCCTCAAACTTGGAGGGAGTTTGGATTATATAGGTAATTGAGGGAGGAAACGGTTATGTGGGAATCAATCTGAACCATTGATTTGGATAGAGTTTGTTAGGGATTGAAGGGTGAGATTGAGAGTTGGTTACAAGGTGGTTATTCTAGTTGGGAATTCTATTTGGAGGTAGTTAGAGAGTTGTTAATTAATCTTCTGTTTCCCATTCTTCAAGCTTCTGTCCTACAAATAATTCCTTCAGCAGCCAGTTGCTTTGAGCAGATGCACATGTGACAGTACCAGTTCTGATTGAGAACTTCATCTTCTTCAATGTCCAGGCATTCAGCATGAAAAAGCCTACTGCAGCCGGAACATGGGAACAAATTTTCAGCCCTTCCACCCAAACAGGCACAACATGTATCTTTCGGATAATTCTGAGGAGCAGCATCCTTACTAAGTAAATCTTGAAGTACCCAAAACTTTTCCTGGCTACAAATCACAGCATCATGCTTCAACCTTGCCGCAATAGTGCCAAGAATATCAATTGCCATGGAACGTGAAGCAAAATCCTTGGAACTTGTCCCAGCATTCTGAATTAGTATGGCACATAGAACCTCTAGAATAGAAGCTGAAGCAGGATATTCAGGTAAATTTAGAGAGGTCAATAAATCAGTAACAAGATTCTCCATTGTGGATTTCAATTCAGAAGCATCCTGAGTCTTTACACTTGCAAGTCGCTGAAGTACACGGGTCCAAAAATAGGAGCAGGCTTCTGTTACTGCATCGCGGCATTTAGCTTGATAACTAGCATCAACCGGGATTTCCAATACAGAATTACTACTCGATGCTTGTCTTAAAGCATCAGGAAGGTCAGCACTACAATGAATTAATTGGATAAGTAAAGCAGTAATCATCTGGATCTGTCTTTGCTCTGAGGTATTTTCTACATGCACCAGTAAAGAATGCAGGGATTCTAGCTTATGTGTTTCTGTAAACCTTGAATATATATCATTAGATTTTTGATGAAGCTTCCCATTGATTACTGATGCTGTTAACCAACGCAAAAATTTCGACACTAAGGAGTCATCACGAGACTCTTTTCCTAGTTCTTTTTTTGGAGATAGAGATTAAGATGAAAGAGGGAGCAGAGAAGTTTTGTTTAGAATTTTCTGGTGATTTCTTTAGAACGTGTGAAGAATATGCAGAGAGAATTGAAAGTGATGATTTTTGTGATTGAAGTTCAGAGAGTTTGAAGATGAAGATCACAGTGATGTTGAAGGATGATAAAGGAAGCAGAGAGGGTTCTTTTGAGTTTTGGTCGTGATTCTTTTCAATGGTTGAAGAATGAGATGATTGAGAGGTAATAAAATCTTTTTATGTGTTTTTAATTCCCTCCTCCCCTTCTGTCAATCCCCATTATGTATATATGCTGGAAGTTTTGTTGTAAAATAAGCCATGAGTTGGTTATGTGGTTAGTTAATTCTGTCAGGAAGTTAGGGTGCAGTTTGTTATGCAGTTATAAGTGGTTAGAAGGTTTGAGAGTTTGTTATGAATTGGTTACTGAATGTTAGGTATGCCGTAACTGTTTTTGGGTTAGTTAAGTTGGTTAATTGAGATATGGTTTTGGATAGGAAGTTATGGTTAGAAAATTCTGTTAGGGAATTTAGTTGGGGAATAGGTTGTAAGAAAGCTGGAAATTTGTTGTTTAGAAATTCTACTTTGGAAGTTGGTTAAGAAACGGTTAGGAATCTGTGAATTAGAAAGGTTGGTTGAAATTGTGTTAGTTATAAGTTAGAAGTCCTATTTAGAGGAGTTAGGCTGTTAGAGGAAGTTGTGTTACGGTAGTTAAGTGATGAGCTGGAAAATCTTTATGTGTTAGTTTTGGAATGAAGAGTAGCTAGGATACTGTTTAGTTATTTTTCTACTGGACAGTTAGGGAATATGACAGTTTAGTAGGAAATTAGTTAGAAATTCTATTGTGAAAGGAGGTTAATGGATTTAGCTAAGTTTGTTGAAGGCAATTTTGTTATTAAGAGGTAATATGCTATGTGAAGAAGTTAGTAGTTGAACGAAAATGTTAGTTGGTGTTACCATGCTGTTGATTAGCAAGCATGCAATCTGTATTATTTGGAAGCAACTTGCATTGAATATTTAGATCAACATCTTCAGCAGTTGATTGCTTCTGCTTTTTGCATTTACGCCTCTTCCAACTACATGGCCTAGATCGCTTCCCAGTCCTAGTTGTAACACAATTCAAGTCTGGTTTCCCTTCTGACTCTGACTTCTTTCAATTGTAGAGCTCTTGTCTGGTGTCTCATAGAGGAGACCACTATCTTCAGGAACAATAAGATTCCGTTTCCGAAAAGATGCAGCCACAACCTGGCACATTCTTGGGGTTGTAAGACTTAAAGGCATTATCCTTCGCATTTAAAATATCAGCTGGGATGAGTGTTCCAGGAGCAGCCATGAGATCAACTAAAAAATCCCTTTCATCATCTAATTTTATAATGTTGACAACATCATCCTCAACACCAGTGTAATGACTACCTTTAACCAGTCTACAAGGCATCTGAATGTTGTCTGCTAATATCTTGAAAAGTAAAGCGCGATGCCTAGAGAGCCCAATATCTAAGGACCCAAGAGGTAATACACTTGTGTGAAGAGATGTCCTTAATTCTGTACTTCTTTCTGTCCATTTTGTTAATATAATATTAGCATCTTTTACAGGGCCGCCCATATGGCTAGTAACAAGTTCAGCAAGCCTTTGCACCAAAATACCAATCTTAGAGACAGGGCAGTCTAATGCTATACAGTGTGCAATTTGCACCAGCTCGTCCAGGGCAGGATCAATTGTTCTATTAACTATGACTACTTCAAAGCTAGAACCACCTGAGTTTGTTTCAAGATCAGCTAGAGATGGCATCTTTCCTTGCATTGCTGGGTCATTATAGAGGCCATATATGTCATAAAAACCATCAACTACTTTCTCTTCATAGTCAAGCACATTGTATTCCCAATACTGCCTCGAAAGCGCCTCCGCAACATCATCCTTATTGGAATCAATCCGATGTCCTCCCAAACTGAGTAGCGTTGCCGCATGGATCTGATCCTTCTCCGGATCATCACCACGGAACTCCGAATTGGAAGCACTGATAGCTAGGATAAATGGGCAAGCTTTCCAATTGCCAGTATTCTTCTTAAGCACAGGCCTCCCTTTAAAGTCGACCGAGCCATCTCCTGTGTATAGCTTACTTTCTTCATCCTGAATAAGCGCTTCTTCCAAACGCGAAGAATCGTCCTCTACGGAACCCATAGCTATGAGGCTTCAAAATCCTCTTTCAGTTTCTGCTTCTTTCCACCTTCTGACAGAAGCATAAAGCTTTGCTAACAGAACATAATTTCCAATGTTTTCAGGTTTAAGCTCAAAAGTCCACCTAGCAGCTACCTCTCCCAGTTCAACATTTTCATGTATTCACGCGAGCACCAAGTAGTGCACCCCATATCGCATGGTTGTGTGTTATATGCATTATTCTAATAAGATTGTAAGCATCATTCAGTCGACCCGTACGGCCAAGAAGATCAACAATGCATGTATAATGATCAACACGAGGAGTAACTTGGTATTTTTTTGTATGAATGTGCAAGTCATGAACTGAAGATGGAGAACTTTGGCATGGCATGGAATTAGAAGCTTACTCATGGAATTTTAGCATCTTTAGGACTAAAGAATTTTGTTCAAGTGTATTTTGTAATAGTTTTTTTTTTGTGTAAAATATTGGTGTGATGGGATTGTAATGAATGTTTGGTTTGGATGAACTTGAAATTTATAGTGTGAATTGTAAATGACCTTTGAGCTTGAAATGTTGGTTGATGAATTTTAAGGACGGGGTTTAAATGACAAAGTCTTGAAAAATGCTTGAAGATATGAAAGCATCAAATTTTCTTGTAAGGTATTGTTACACTTGAATGAAATTGAATGGAATTGGATAGTATTTTCTTGAATCATGAATGAGAATGAAATTGAATGGAATTGGATAGTATTTTCTTGAATAAATGTTTGAACGCATTGTGAACTTGAATCTGAAATAACGGTGAACATCTTTGTAATGCGTATGAACTCTGACTTGAAACAAAACCTCGCAATCTGTACTTTACCTTCCAAGAAACTCATATGACCAATACTTGAGGCTCTTTACCAACTTTAATCCAATCAAACACTTTTAAACATCTCGAACTCAAATCAAACTTCAAATCCATATCACACTTGCATTCTCAATGAACTCCTAACTTCAATCTTGAATCCCAAATCAACTTGAATGACAAACAATTTGAATAGTCAATAAGATCTTGATCCTAAAAAAATCACAACCTTGCTTTTTGTATCATGCCTCATATTCCACGATTCAATCCACAAGTCTCTTATCTTGACAAAGTCCTTCCCTAATTGACGACCTTAAATTATCAAAGATGGATGTAAATGATAATGAAAGAATATGATCAAGATTAATATAAAACCTTATTTCCCCTGATCTTCAATTACTTGAACTTTTATCAATGAATAGACACCCTGATTTTTAATGAATTTTTCTTTTCTGAACCAATATTTCTTTTCCTTTACCATACCATTCTTCAAATGCAACTCAAATTCCCAACACATATTAGATGAAAATTCAAGGAAGACCTTGGTCCCAAAGTTAATTTTTCAAAGCTTACTTTAACCGAAGTCAACAGATCTTATCCACATATCTTTGAAATTGACCCATGATTATGCATCTCAAGGTCTCATAAGAGCTTGTAAGCCCATCAACCAGGTATGCCATGTTGAACAAACCCTGCCTTGAATGCCTTGAACCTTGAATTACCTTGCATGAATTCTTCTATGAGAAACTTACTTCAATCCAAACCTACTCGCATTGCAGATAACAAATGACAATGATGAGGACAATGATTGCCTTGGTTAAGGAGAAATCTATGAATTCATATCTTAGGTCATGAACCACGCTTCACAATTCAATCCTCAACCCTTAGCGATCGGTTATTTCAACTTGAGATTAGTGTCATAAGGAACATCTTACAGATGCATGATAAAGTCTGAATCACAGAAAAATTCCCTTGATGTGAAACCCTCACAATCTTTATTCCTCGTTTAGACGCACGGAGAAATATCCAGATAAAACATCTTTGAACCATGATTCAACAAAAACCTAATTTGATTAACTGAGGAGTAGACGATTGTCATGTCACAGTCATTAACCCTAATCAAATGACAAGCATACTTATAGGAAAGGACGTCATGATTCGAAGCCCACATATGCTAGGTCACGTCCTAGAGTTCTTGACCAGAATGACCTACAATCGGTTGTTCATCAGAAGATAATAGCCTTGCTGCTTGAGGGAGAAGAAGTCCTTTATTGGATATGAGCGCCTTAACCACTTGAAACCCTAGTATCGCACAACCACTGAACTTTGAACCTCAGAGCTATATTGAATGAAATGTATGCCATGTTAGTGACCTAATGAAAAAGATGCAGATGAATGCAAAAGTCTAAGCCAAAATAAAGGAAATTAGGAGGGAAAATTTTAGGGTGCAACAGCTGCCCCTATTTAATCATCTTCAACCTGAAGGTGAGATTGGCGCCAGCCTTTCGAACTTTCAAGGTAGAAGAAGATTAAATACTAAAAGAGCCCGAAAATTTGCGCTCCGAAGCCAGTCAGGTATCATTTTTTGGTTTTTTTTTTGTATTATTTTTTTTTTGCTAGGTAAAAGGGGTTATCAGGTTAGATGTATGTTCAGCCAGGGTTTGACACACAGCAGAATAACTTGGTTATCAAGGAACAACTGTTGGGATTTAATAACAAACACCTGTAAGAAAGGTATCAAAAGATATATGCCTAAAGCCTGTAGTAGACATACGAAAAAATATCAGAGACACATATCTGGGGTTGGTAGCGGATATACCAGAAAGAGACATCAAAAATACATATCCGTGGTCGGTATCGGACACGTAAGAAAGAGATAGAAAAGATACATATTTGTGGTCGGTATCGGATACGCACAAAAGATATAGAAAAGATACATATCTGTGGTCGGTACCGGATACGCACAAGAGAGATATCAAAGATACACATCTGTGGTCGGTATCAGATACGCACAAAAGAGACATCAAAGATACATATCCGTGGTCGATATCGGATACGCACAAAAGATATAGACAAGATACATATACGTGGTCGATATCAGTTACGCATAAAAGAGATATCAAAGATACATATCCGTGGTCGGTATCGGATACGCACAAAAGAGATATCAAAGATACATATCCATGGTCGGTATCAGATACGCACAAAAGAGACATCAAAGATACATATCCGTGGTCAGTATCGGATACGCACAAAAGAGACATCAAAGATAAAAGAACATATGTCTGAGGTTGGTAGCAGACATATGAAACAGGTATCGAAAATACATATCCGTGGTTGGTATCAGATACACACAAAAGAGATATCAAAGATACATATCCGTGGTCGATATCGGATACGCACAAAAGATATAGACAAGATACATATCCGTGGTCGGTATCAGATACGTACGAAAGAGATGTCAAAGATACCAGAACATATGTCTGAGGTTGGTAGCAGACATATGAAACAGGTATCGAAAATACATATCCGTGGTCGGTATCGGATACACACAAAAGAGATATCAAAGATACATATCCGTGGTCGGTATCGGATACGCACAAAAGATATAGACAAGATACATATCCGTGGTCGGTATCGGATACGTACGAAAGAGATGTCAAAGATACCAGAACATATGTCTGAGGTTGGTAGCAGACATATGAAATAGGTATCGAAAATACATATCTGTGGTTGGTATTGGATACGTATGAAAGAGACAGACCGAAGAAAGCTCTTGCAAAGAAACACCAATCGAAGGCGGACTTACTGAGGAAGGAGACCAAACGAATGGGACTCCGGACAAATGATGTCAATCGAAGGTGGATTTAAAAGAAATGACACTATCCGAAGCGGGATTTTGACAAAAGATACCAGGCGAAGCGGGGTTTTGAAAGATACAGGTATGCATGTCTGGTCAGAGTTAGATACACAAGAGCGAAGTTGATCATCAAGAAACAAATGTTTAGAATTGCTAGTGAACACATGAACGAGACTAACCGAAGAAAGCCCCAATAAAAAGGGCGCATTCGCCTAAGTAAGGATGCTAGACAACTAGACTCTGAAGAGACACTGAAAGACTCTTAATCATAAAAGATTAGCTAGGCTAACGAAAGGAGGACCCGACTAACGTGGATAAACCAAAACAAGGAACCGACTAAGCAGGACCTTCAAAGAGCACTGATCAAATGTGTTCTCTACAAGAGAAAGGGACTGGTCCAAGCAGACTCTAACGAAGAAAAACATGTTAGGATTTCGATAGGTTGCAAATACGCAAGAACTAAAAAAATCCCTCAGGCCAAAGGCGAGGTATAATTCTTCAAGAGTGACAATCATCTGAATTACCACACACCAAGTATGGACACTCAAATACTTGAGAAATAAGAAAGGCTATACGCCGACTCTTACTCGCACTCTAACGGCAAAGCGAACACGGGTAAAATAACCAAAAGCTTGCAAAGGCAAGCGCAAACCACAAACTTACTGGGGAGATGGAGGAATACCAAAGACCCGACTGATGGTGAATCAAAACAAACCCCGCTGGGGAAACATAATAGAGTCACCCTTAGGCTTGTTATGGAGATAAATCAAATCTGAGCGCATAACAATCTGGTTACCACAAGTGGACATAATTGGCTTATACTTATGCATGTTTGAATTTTTTATAGCATAATGCTCCATGCAATGGAAATGATATGCATTTTAGTAGATGCGATGTGATGATGCAATGTAATGATGCATGTTTAGTAATGCACTGGGGAGACCACGTCAATAATCGGATGTTGGGAAGACAATGAACTTTCAAATGATTATTCTTGCACATCTAATCTTCTGTAGAGAACATGCAATATGAACTTCGGTAGGAAATCGAGATTCGAAACCATCAACCTCGAACGATTGATAACATTGAAGAAATAACTTCCTGGGTAGTAATACTGCGAAAAATAAATTGCAGTTTGAGAGAAAATCTTGAATTCTGATTAAACTTCCAAATTCCTGGGGGGTAGATACTTTATCTTCTGTTAGAATGGGGAGAGCTTCGCTGGGGATGGAAGCTTTCTCTTGCGCAGAACTTCTTTACGAAGATAGCTTCTACTGGGGAGTATAGAAATTCTTAAATAAATAGAATTCTAC